GCGTTGTCCAGATAAATCCAGAGCTTCAACTTCTTCAAGGCATGAAGAAAAACGTGTCAATTTAATCGAAGTGAAGAAGCTACCACAAGGACAGCTGACGTTTATGAATGGTAAAGTAGTTGATTTTCTTTTTGATTCTGGTTCTGAATGTTCATTGGTAAAAAATAGTGTGGCAGTCTGTTTGAATGGCAAATATCAAAATTGTATGATAACTTTGAGAGGCATTGGTGGAAATTCCGTATTTTGCACTTCACAAATGTTAGCACTAGCTAAAATTCAAAATATTCATGTCGAAATTTTATTGCACATAGTACCTGATGATATTATTTCCTTCGATATTATAATTGGTCGGGATTTAATCGCTCAGAGTATAAACGTTTCTTATGGACCAAGTGGCCTATTTTTGACTCGTGAGAAATCCGTACAAATTTGTGACAGTATTGTCGGCAATTTCAATATGATAGATACGGACTTAACTTCACAAGATAAAGAAAATTTACTTAATATGTTAATCAATTATCAAAATAATTTCGTAAATGGAGTGCCGACGGGTAGGGTAAAAACAGGTAGCTTAGATATTCGTTTAAAAGACCCTTCAAAATTCGTGCAGCGAAGACCTTATCGCTTGTCAACCGCTGAACGCGAAATTGTACGGGAAAAGGTTTCTGAATTACTTGAAGCTGATATAATTCGCCCTAGTTGCTCTCCTTTTGCAAGTCCGATTTTATTGGTAAAAAAGAAAGACGGTACTGATAGAATGTGTGTCGATTATCGTGAATTAAATAGAAACACTATTTCAGATAGGTACCCTCTACCGCTAATTAGTGACCAGATTAATCGTTTACACGGCGCTTATTACTTTACATCTTTGGATATGGCTGCTGGTTTTCATCAAATTCCGGTTGACCCTAATAGTATCGAAAAGACCGCATTCGTTACGCCCGACGGTCAATACGAGTACCTGACTATGCCTTTTGGGCTCACAAATGCACCCTCAGTCTACCAGCGGGCAATAGACAAAGCTTTAGGTACTTTACGTAATACAATAGCTGTTGTTTATATTGATGATGTCTTGATCCCGTCCCGATCTATTTCTGAAGGGATTGAGCGTTTAGAAACGATTATTAAAACACTTGTTGAGGCCGGGTTTTCTTTCAATTTGAAGAAGTGCAAATTTTTAAAAACCGAAGTCGAGTACCTGGGTTATTTGGTACGTGCGGGTGAACTTCGCCCCAACCCAGGCAAGGTTTCGGCTTTGCGCAATTTGTCAATTCCAAAAACTCAAACGCAAATTCGCCAGTTTTTGGGTTTGGCATCGTATTTCCGTAAGTTCATTCCAAACTTTTCGCGAACAGCTACACCTTTATATCAGCTAACCAAAGGCAACATAAAATCAATTAAATGGTTACCTCATCACGAAAATGCCCGTGATATTTTGATTAAATCTCTAACATCAGAGCCTGTGCTTTCTATTTACGACCCCGAACTGCCAATTGAATTGCACACAGATGCCAGTTCTGAGGGTTACGGCGCTGTTTTGTTACAACGCAAAGATTCAAAACTGCATGCTATTGCTTATTTTAGTAAACGTACTACTGAAGTTGAGTCTAGATATCATTCATACGAGTTGGAAACATTGGCAGTTGTTAACGCGGTTAAAAATTTCAGACATTTCTTGCACGGGAAACATTTTCTTGTCGTCACGGATTGCAATTCTCTAAGGGCTTCTCGAAATAAAATTGACTTAACACCTCGAGTTCATAGGTGGTGGGCATTTTTGCAAGCTTTCGATTTTGATATTCAATATCGTGAAGGTGCGCGTATGCAGCACGCAGACTTTTTCTCACGAAATCCCATTCCTGAAAAAAAAATTGCCCAAAATTTTAATAACAATCGCACTACAGTTAAAATAATCCAACTGTTAGATATCGAAAAGGACTGGCTAAAAGTCGAGCAACAGCGAGATGACGAAATTGTTCAGCTTACGGCAAAATGGAAATCTCGTGAACTTGCACCCGATTTGTTAAAAAGCTATGATTTGCAAAATAATGTTTTGTTGCGGAAAATAGAAAGATGTCATAAATCAAAGTGGTTACCCATAGTTCCTCGATCTATGGCATGGTCAGTTATCAATCATATTCACGTTGACTTGAAACATTTAGGCTGGGAAAAAACTTTAGACAAATTATATGACTTCTATTGGTTTCCAAATATGTCCAAAAACGTCAAAAAATTCGTCAGCAATTGTCTAATATGTAAAACATCTAAGGGAACATCAGGTTCCACTCAAATTCAATTACATTCTATCCCTAAAGTACCAAAACCTTGGCATACCATTCATATTGATATTTCGGGAAAATTAAGCGGAAAAAGTGATAGGAAAGAATACGCTCTTGTAATTATTGATGCTTTCACTAAATTTGTTTTGCTATATCATATCTCGTCATTAACGGGTAAACAAGCTGTAGAGTCTTTCAAAAATTTTACATATTTGTTTGGTGCACCAAGTCGTGTTATTTCTGACCAGGGGAAATGTTTTACTAGTTCTGAATTCAAAACTTTCTGTTCCTCAAATAATATAGAGTTGCATTTTATTGCACACAGTGCAAGTAGAGCTAATGGACAGGTTGAACGAGTGATGCAAGTCCTCAAAAGTTTGTTTACAATTCAAGAGGCAGTGGGTACTTGGCAAGATAGTATAGGCGAGGTTCAATTAGCTTTGAATAGTAGTAAACACCGGACCACCGGATTTAGTCCAGCAGAATTGTTGTTTGGTACTAAAATTCATTCAATACAATTAAATAAAATAGTACACGAACTTGTTAGTGACGAAGATAACATTCCTTTGTCCGAATTAAGAGAAATAGCTAGTGCTAATATTGGTAGAGTTGCGGAAATGGATAAAACCCGTTTGAATAATTCAAAAGCCAAGATTAAGCCGTTTGTTGTTGGAAATTTTGTGTATGCTAAATGTAATGAGAGAATGTTGTCGAAATTAGATCCTAAATTTAGAGGACCTTATAAAATTATTCAGGTGTTACCTAATGATCGTTACCAGGTAGAAAAGGTAAACGGTAAAGGTGCATTATGTAAATTTGCCCATGATCAATTAAGAATAGTGCCTAATGGTCAGGGTGCAGAGATGTTTGATTTCGATGTAACTAATGAGCAAGAGGCGGATGATTTAGCTTTGGTAGATCATTAAATCAAGGATCGCATTTTGTAATTAATCGTAATTTGCTTAGGATAATTGTATTTTTATATTTTGTTTTGTTAATACCTGAGGGTATGTGTTTTGAGTTTTATACCTAGTAGAGAGGTATAAGTGCGATGTTTTTGTAAATACCTGAGGGTATGTGTTTGATTTCTATACCTAGTAGAGGGGTAAGAAATTTATGATTTTTTTTTTGTGAATACCTTTGGGTATGTGTTTTGATATCTATACCTAGTAGAGAGGTATGAGATTGTAATTTGATATACCAAGTTCTAGTGGTATGTGTTTTGATATCTATACCTAGTAGAGAGGTATGAGATTGTAATTTGATATACCAAGTAGTGGTATGTGTTTTGATATCTATACCTAGTAGAGAGGTATGAGATTGTAATTTGATATACCAAGTTCTAGTGGTATGTTTTGATATCTATACCTAAGTAAAGAGGTATGAGATTGTATAATGATATACCTAGTAGTGGTATGTGTTTGATATCGATGCCTAGCGGAGAGAGGTATGCGATTGGATGTTTATATTCAATATGACTAATATGAGAGTACATATTTGGATTTTTGACTGATAAATTTATTGTCAGGATGAACGAGCTACAAGTTATTAGAATGGTGATTCTTTTTTTTTTCAGATCAGAACGCAGAATAGCGCACGAGGGCGTGCGATAGGTCAGAGGTGGCCGTGTCGGCGACAGCCGTATTTGTATTGAGATTTTGTTTAAGAAGATAAACACTTTATTACTTTACCCTTTTAGTTCTTAGAATAAGTTCGGTAGTAGTAAGTAAATGTTTTCGGGGTGACTCAAAGGAAACCCATAAAATTATATTGGCTTGACAATAAAGTTTTATTTGCTGAAAGCTTGGGAACCACTCAACTCTCACAAGGGGGGTTGAGGAGAGCGGAACGGGACCAGGATGGTTTGGTCAGTTTTTGAGAGGACTTGAGTCAGCAGTCGAAAAGAGAACTGGTCCCGGATCGCTAGTTCCTATTCTCTATTTCATTTTTCTTTAAAAATCTTTTCTCGATTTTGATTTATGCCGATTAGTTAAATTTAAGTTAAATTAGTTCGTTATAGTTAGTCATTTAAATATCAGCCGCCGTGCTATCAAATTGTTTTCTCTCGGCATCATTGTAATAAACTTTTTCGCGTCTAATTCATTTGTTTCATTTTTTTTTGCTTTTATTTAACGTCGGCAGTTACTAATAACTATGTCGGACGGTGACGCGTCAGCTTCTGCTTCTCCGACATATATATACCTTTGGAAAAAATTAATATTTTCCAACTAAAGAAATTATTATGTCAATTCCATAATATTGCAGAATGACAAAGTTTATATGTAGATGTTTTAAGATTAAATAACAGGACAAACTCGAACAAATGCAATGACAAATTCTTTACTCTCAACAATAAATTTACCATAAGAATTCTATGCAAATTCGCTTTATGACTCATTGGCATTACAGCCAAACCTACAATGTTAGTTTTTTTCTTTTTTCCATTTGCCTTAATAATAATCCCAGCTGGTATTAATATTTAATGCTAAACTAGTACTGACAAGCTAATGAATCGCTTCTATAATAATGTTGATTAATGCTTTTGATAAACTTCTAGAGTAGCTAATGGACGTCTAAATAATTGTATCTGATTATAAAGATTTTTTTGTATTTTATTTAATTAATTAAAAACGTTTTAAATGAGAGACTTAATTTTTTTGGTTTGTGTCTCAAGGTAATTAATTATTAATTTAAAAACAATAATAATTATTGAAAACTTACCTTCAATGGCTTAAATCCAAAAAACAAACACGCATCCAATCTAATAAGACACTTTTTCAAATTAAAAAAATAATAATAAAAACAATAGATGATTATTGTTAGAAGAATAGGTAGTTCCCACGTATTATATTCGGTCAAAAACCGCGATGGACTGACTGACTGACTGACTGGGTAGTACCAGCGCGCGTTCTGCCGCTTTTTCATTCAAAAGAAGTACCTTAACGTGCCCCCACCTTAGGTGCAGTAACAACAAGGAAAACGTGCTTCGCATGATTTCCACTAGGATACCTAGGTTTTGTTTATTTTAATTTTTTCTCTAGGACCTGGAGCGATAACGATATCATTTTGTACCTATACTGATAAAAAAATGGTACCTACATTATTATGTCACTAGTTTGATAATATTATCATTATCAGAGACTTTGTCTAGAGTTAAGAAATATCTATATAAATATCGTACTTTAATAATAAGTCACTTTCTGGACTTGTAAAGTATAAATTACTATTTCCATAGTGTCAATATTATTTTATAAGTTATTAGCCGCAAATGTCACAATAAATAGTTTCCGTAATTGGCTAGTTTATAATAGCATGGATTTATGGTTGTAATTTGAATTTATTAATAAATTATTTAAATTTGCTTCTGTAAAAATCGCATATTTCTATAGTCGATTTGAATCGGCTATTTATGCAACAAGTGCGTAAAATGAAACTTTTTTCACAATCATATTGAGTGAAAAAAATGGGCTTTACATACCATGTTACAATCAAATTTTTGTGCCGTGTTAAGCAATTTGAGGTGATTTATCAATTTTTTTGAGTGCCTTCTTTCAAAGATTTCGGCTCCAAATCTCAGAATAATTTAGTGTATGGAATTTGGAAGGTTCCGAATGATCATTAAGATCCAAAATCTCAACATAAAATTTTTTTGAAATTTCATCGTTTTAGTACTGAGGTGATGATTTAGATTTTGAAAAACTTTGAAAGGTCATTACTTTCTTTCTATCATAGATAGGAGACTGAAATTTCCAGCGATTCTTATTCCAGTAGAGGACTACGGTCCCTGAAAATTTCAGCTCATTTGTAGTCATAGTTTCAGAAATAAAATCGTGTTAAGCAATTTGGGATGATCTATCAATTTTTCTGAGTGCCTATTTTCATAGAATCTGGCTCCAAATCTCAGAATCACTGTATGAAGTTTGAGAGATCCCAAGAAACCATTAGAACAAAAAACTCAACAACAAAAAATTAAAATTTCATCGTTTTAGAAAAGATAGCTACCTTATGATTTAGACTTTGGAAAACTTTGAAAGGCCATAACTTCTTTTCTATCGCATAGATTGAAAGCTTAAATTGTCAGCGATTCTTATCCCAGTAGAGAACTACAATTCCTGAAAATTTCAGCTCATTTGGACTCATAGTTCCAGAAATAAAATCGTGTTAAGCAATTTGGGATGTTCTATCAATTTTTCAATTTTTTTGAGTGCCTTTTTCATAGAATCCGGCTCCAAATCTTGGAATTATTTAGTGTATGGAGTTTGGGGGATCGTGAAGGACTATTAAGATACAAAATCTCAACAAATTTTTTTTCTACTTGTTGGCATAGGCGCCGGAACCATGGAGGCAATGGGGGCTTGAGCCCCCGTAGTGAATTTGCTATGGGGGCGGAGCCCCCATAGTGATTTTGGTATTCTATGTAGTGGATAGGTACAAAAATATTGAGTTTCTAACTACACAGCGCACAAAAATTATCGCATCACCAATGCTTTTAAATATTTTGGCTACAGTAAATTTATATTAAAATTTTCTTGAGTATTTCTTGAATGGGCATTCTTCAATTGAAAAACTCGAGTCAAAAAACATGTCGTTTCTTCTGTTATACATATCTGAAATACAAGTTGTAAGCTGCCACAATAGCCTTCTGCAACACGTGTATCAGGGGCGCAACTAGCTTGTTGGTTTTGGGGGGGCTTGAGCCACCGGCGTATACAAGGGGGGGGGGGGGGGGGGGGGTAATGGGGGTAATTACCCCCCCCCCCAAGATCGTTGCGATGGACGAAAAAAATGTAACCTTACAAATAAATCTATTTTTTATATTTTCACTTTTCAGCAACTGGCCCTAACTTGTTTTCTAGTTTGTACAGTGTCCGCACTACCTGCATGCCATTTATAGCGAATTCTATTCAAAGGGATAGTGCACACTGAGTGTATTCGTATCTTTCTCTACCTTGCACAAGAAAGAGATAATAGTATATTACATACCGAGTAGGGAAGTGTTTCATTACTGTCGAGAGATTTATATAGTCAATCGAGACGCGAAGGGTCGAGATTGACTATTAATCTCGAGACAGAAATGAAAACTTTCCTCAGAGGTTTGTATACTATTTTATTTGCAAGCACACCATTAATTATGATTAGTCATTTAATTTTTTTAATAATAAAAAAATAAAACAAACATGCCAAAATGTGTCATTCACTGCTTTGACGTTTTCACCTGACATGTTCTCATTGTTGCCAGCAAAGGTAAATAAATTAGAGTGAGGGAAATCGGTGAGGGAAGTCGAATAGGGAAATCGGTAAGGGAAATCGAAGAGGGAAGTGACACAGGTAAAGTGTCACTTCCAAATTTTTAAAAAGTCAGTAATGACAAAATTACATATATGATTGCAAATAAATACATTTTTTGTATTCATTCTACCAATAGAATTCGCTATAATTAAAAAGTTTTAGGCGAATCTCATAGCGAATTCCATTGGTAAAATCGGTGCAAAAATAGTTATTTTCCTAACAAGTGCGCAAAGTGTTACTTTTCCGCACGCAAACACAGTTATACGAACGACGCGAAGCGGAGTTCGGATACGTACACGTACACGTACACTTTGCGCACGTGTTAGGAACAAAATTTTTCCTACGAGCTTCATATCAGGCAGGTAATAACAAAAATTTAAAAAAAAAACGATAATTTGTTTAATTATTTTTAATTAACTTGAAGGGAGCCTATGCATTTATCAAAAAATTACATAACAAAAAAAACTAACAGAAAATCCTCGTCAGAGCTGTTCATCTTGAAGCGTTTAAATTTGATGAGAAAGTTTGTAGATTTTTGCATATATAAATAGAGAACAAATCTGACAATGTGTCAAAGTTAATTTATATTTGGTGTTTGTATAGATGTTGGCTGATATAGAAACAGAGGAAAAATTTGTCATCATGTGTCAAAGTCGACAGGTGCACTTATTGTTGCTTGACAATTATAATTACTTTTCGGCACTCAGTGCGGATAAGGCCTGTATCCGCACTGAGTGCGGAAAAGTGTAACTTTGAGCTCGGAAATGCGTGCGGAAAAGTACTACTTTGCGCACGCTCGTAGGAAAAATGTATTTTTATCTCTTTCTTATACAAGCTGGTAGAATAAGATACGAATACACTCAGTACGCACTAACCATAGATTTTAACCCTTATTCCAATGGAATTCGCTATCAGAGTTCGGTTTCGTTTTTGTTGGTAGTACAGAATATATTTACCTAACAAGTGCGGAAAATGAATTTTTCCACACGAGTCTGTCGTTCACCGAAAGACGCGTAGCGGAATTCGGTGAAGTAGCTGAGTTCGGGAAACAGATTTTCGTCATGTATTAGGTACTGGGTGTTTGTTCATACCTATTGAAAAATAAATTTTGATGTTTTGAATTTTTTCGTACATTTTTCTGTTGGCGGCACGCAGTGCCGCAGCGGGCCCGCTAATGTGATTTTCAAATGCGCGCCCGCCCTAGGGTTAAAAAAGCAATCAATTTTGAAAACTTGCTGATATGTTATTTTTGTAGAACAAATACAGGGTGCTGCAATTTGGAGTGTTTTAACCAGGAAAAACATACTTCCAGACCAAGGTTGTAAGAGGGAGGTAGGTTACCTGATAACTTTATGACGTCATCTGGGGACTGGGGTGCCTCAACATAATGCAAATCTCCATGAGGCATTCCAAATGCGTCAACAAGTTACCCATTACCAAGCAACCTATCAACTTTTAGGAACCTTACTCCTAGACAGAAAAATTGACTAGATGTCATGAGGTCGATGTCCGAGAAACGTCGATTGTCAAAAACCGTATTGCGATCGCGATATCTTCAATGAGTTCAATGGTGCAATTAATACAGGGCGATTTTCAATTTTTCCCAATTCTGAAAAATAGCTATAAAGCTTATAAGTTATTTATTTATCAATATTAATAGTGTTAGAATTATGATTATACAAAAACAAGTCTACCAGGTTCCAAAAGGCAATATGTGGCAATGTTAAATTTGTTTTAAAAGCCTGAGAAAAAGCAAATGCCATTATCTACATAATAAAATGTATTATCAGTCGAAACTTATTTAAAGAAAAAGGGTCTGCTTTTATGACTTCTGGCTGGTACCTGGAAGGGTTTTTGTAAACAAGAGAAGTGGTGAGTCACCCTATGAAATGTATAATTTTGCCTGTAAAAATTATGTGAAAATTTAGTCTTAGAGAAACTGGTATCGAATACAGACATATTGAAATTAATCTAGCGTTTTATTTCCCATAAACCACTTAACGGAAAAAATAATAATACTCAATAAGTAGCTCATTGGATAGCTCTGCTTTTGCTGATTTTTCCTCAAAAACTCTTAAAGATAACTAGGCCAGGGCAGTTAGCAAAAATAGGAGAAGTTTTTGCAATCAAGCTGATTTTTTCACAGATGATAGTACCCATCCATAGTACTCTGTAAAAAAAAGTTACACCTCCTAGGAGGCTTGCTTTTTCCGCCATGATGATTTAAAGATGGCGGCTGGTGCTATTCTTGAAAAAAATCGTAACTTTCTTATTTATTAACCGATTTTCGTCAAGTAAAAAAAAAATACCTTTGTTTTGGACTAATAAAGAATCAAATAAAAATATAAAACCATTTTGACAGGTAGTATTTCTGTCAAAAAAAAAAATATAGGAAAATAAATTGAATTGGTTTTCTGCAATTTTCTTTGAACCATAGCTGTAAACTTAGACCGTAGGTACTCCTTACCAAAAGAAGCTTCAAAATATGTGCTTTTTTTTCTAATTTTGAAACAGTTTTTGTGTTTGTGATAGGTTAAGTAATTCGCGAGATATAGTCGAAAAAAACTTGAGAATCCAAAAAAAAAAAAAAAACTTAT